TAGAGGTTTTTTAAGAAAGAATTCATGCAAGCCAAAGATATATTGGAAAGTTTTAGCCTACAGAGGGTAAAATAGAACAGCCACACACAAGACACATGTATCTTCGCTTCATTTTTTTGTCAAAAAGCGAGACATAGGTATGCTGTTTCCAGTGGTGGCGGCAACAGGGATGGCGTCAACAATGTATTAGTTTGCGATTAGGTCCTGCCCCCTCAGTCTGGGTCTATTGACTTTGAAACTTTTGCTTAATTTACATGTATTAGTTTGTGATTAGGTCAATTTATGGGGAACCACTAGTGGTAGGTCAATGATATTTGGTATGCAGTTGTATAAGCATTAGCATATCTCATTTCCATGGAGATTATTTGGCTCCGCCCCCTCACTCATGGTCTATTAACTTTGATACTTTTGCTTAGTTTACATGTATTAGTTTGTGATTAGGTCAGTTCAAGGGGAACCATTAGTGGTAGGCCATGTAGTTGTAGAAGCATTAGCACATCTCATTTCCATGGAGAATATTTGGCCCCGCCCCCTCAGTCATGGTCTATTGACTTTGAAACTTTTGCTTAGTTTACATGTATTAGTTTGTGATTAGATCAGTTTAAGATGAACCACTAATGTTAGGTCAGTGATATTTGGTATGCAAATTTATTGGCATTTGACTCGTTCCAATGGAGATTATATAGCCCCACCCCCTCATCATGGTTCATTGACTTTGAAACTTTTACATAGTTTACAAGTTAATGTTTGTTTAGGTTTGTTTAAAGGGAACGACTTATGATGTCAATGGTATTTGGTATGCAATTGTATAAGTATTGGCACATCTCATTTTCATGGAGAGTGTACCTTCAGTCATGGTTCATTGACTTTGAATATTTGCATAACTTACATGTTAAAGTATTGCTATTTTAATTTCTACATTTGCATTATCAAAATTACAAAAAGGTGAGACATATCTCTGTGTTAACAGTTTGTTAAATTAACGAATTTGTCCTATTAGAATAGAAATAATTCATGCAAGTCATAGATTTGTTATCATTTTTGCATGGCTTTGACCTGGGCCATGTGAAAATTTCCAATAAATCTATAGCTTGCATGAATTATTTCTTAAATATATTTTGCTGTCATCACTATTACAACATTTTATGCAGAAAATAGATTTGTGTGTTTTTAAATTTTTTTTTTATATAATTTGGATTGAAAAGTAATTTCTCTATATGAAGGTGATCGAAACAGCAGACGTCCACAACCATAGGGTATATTGTTTTGGCATATTTGATTTATTCAAAGCGTAAAACATCTAACCATTGATGTACAGCATGATGAACAAACCTTGGTTTAAATGTGTGTTTTGAATGGATTTTTTTTTAGCTTTTTGTTCTTGGTAACCACCTTCATGAAAATGAGCTAATACTCTTGTGTGGTTAAATGTGTCAAATTTGCAATGATATTAATTAAAAGATAATACATGTTTCTTTGATAGCAAAGCAGTCTATTCTATGGTCGGGTTGTTGTCTCTTTGACACATTCCCCATTTCCATTCTCAATTTTATCAAGACAAGTAACACATACTGGTTCCCAAAAATGCCCCGGAAATATACATTATGATTGATTGGTGTTTAATGCCACTTTCAGTACTATTGTGCTATTTTGTGGTGGTTAGTTTTTATTGGTGGAGTAAGCCAGAGTACCCAGGGAGAATCACTGACCTTCAATAGGAAAAATGACGATCCTAGGCAATTTAGAATTGAGTTGAGGGAACCTGCCAGTGCGAGATTTGAACTCACAACCTCAGTGTTGACAGTCTAGTGATACAGTAGTTCAACCACTTAGACCACTTGGCAACCGAGACCCCTATCTTTATTATGACATAATCTCTAAAAATACATAAAAAAACCACTAATTGTTCTTGAATTTTATATAACAATTTTTTTGTTTAGTTCTTTGTCTTTTTTCTACTAGCAGGTCTCATCTGACCTTGACCTCATTTTCATGGTTTATTGGTTAATGTTCAGTTTTTGTAATTAGTGTTTTTCAGATATTATAAGCAATAGACTAACTATATTTATTTGTATTGTATGAAATTTAATCACGATAAGTAAAGCAGGCGAGACATTTTAGGGTGTGCACTCTTTGATTTGACAAAACTACATTTTGGCAATTATTACATAAAAAGGATAACAGGAATACCTCAAATATTAGACAGTACATTAAACCTCATCTAACAACCATTAAATCCTTTAAAAATAAACATACAATCAAAGACAACAACAAACAACACATGGTCTTGACAGTCTGATTTAGTCAGAAATTTAATTGATTTTAAGAGCCCTGCACCACCAACTATAATCCTTTTTATGCCCCCACCGTAGCGGAGGGGGCATTAAGTTTTACCCTTGTCCGTCCGTCCGTCCATACGTACGTCCCGAAATTGGTTTCCGTTCTCTAACTTTAGTTTGCCTCAACCAAATGTTATGAAACTTATACACAATGCTTATTACCACAAAACACAGATCAAGTTTGAATTTTGGTGGCGTCACTTTTACCATTCTAGAGTTATGCCCCTTTACAAATGAAAAAATTGCTGAATTTTACGTTTCCGTTCTCTAACTTATGTATGCCTCAACCAAATGTTATGAAACTTATACACAATGCTTATTACCACAAAACACAGATCACTTTTGAATTTTGGTGGCATCACTTTTACCATTCTAGAGTTATGCCCCTTTACACATTTTTCTGTTTCCATTCTCTTTCTTAAGTTTGCCTCAACCAAATGTTATGAAACTTATACACAATGCTTATTACCACAAAACACAGATCAAGTCTGAATTTTGGTGGCGTCACTTTTACCATTCTAGAGTTATGCCCCTTTACAAACGGAAAATTGCTGAATTATTTCGTTTCTGTTCTCTAACTTAAGTTTGCCGCAACCAAATGTTATGGCACTTATAAACAATGCTTATTACCACAAAACACAGATCTAGTTTGAATTTTGGTGGCGTCACTTTTACCATTCTAGAGTTATGCTCCTTTACAAATGGAAAAATTGTTGAATTTTTCGTTTCCGTTGTCTAACTTTAGTTTGCCTCAACTAAACGTTATAAATCTTATATACAATGTTTATTACCACAATGCCCAGATCAAGTTTTGAAATAAGGTATCGTCACTTTTACTGTTCTTGAGTTATGTCCCTTTATAATGTTGTATGCAAGCAGGGGGATCATCTGTGTCCTATGGACACATTCTCCATTTATTATTTTTTATTATTACAATGTTAATTTTTAATTAATGTGTATATCTCTCCAGATTGTCTGTTTGTTGACATATCTTTCCTTGACTATGTTGATGTTAATTTCATAAGAGCACAGATATAGGATATGAAAGTCATTAGCTGCTGAAAGTATTTGTGAGATGTACCTTTCAATAAGACCATAGAATGATTATAAGCATGCAACATTTTTTAATAACATTTATACACTGCTATAACATTATTTGAAGTTCCGAAATTAAGAGTATTATATGCTCCAATCTTTTTGAAACAATTTCATTTATTTGAGTAACAAATGATTGATATTGAACATTTTATAGTATTGCATAAATATCTTCATTAAAATAGCATGAAGGTTGATGATGGCAAGGCACTGGTGTTGATCTTAGACATGACATATTATGGTATATTGTAGGAAGTCTGTTTGTATGTCAACACTTGGTACTATTACTCAAATTTGCTTATAAAAATTCTCATGAATTTTGTAAATTGTATACATGACTTTTTGATTGAATGAAGAAAGCTCAATTTATTCATTGAAAATTGGTAATTTTCTCAAATGTTTTACAATAAATCTTAATTTGCTTTTTTCTGAAATTTTATCACAGTGCTAGAATTTATAAAAGTAAGATCCCTTTTAATTTTAGTGATTTTCACTGCTGATTGCAAAGTTATGGAACTTAATTCATGAAAAATTTTACATTTTTATGTCCCTGCCGTCACCGGAGGGGGCATTAAGTGTTACCCTTGTCCATCCGTATGTACGTCCCAAAATTGGTTTCTGTTTAGTTTGCATAAACCAAATGTTATGAAACTTATACACTATGCTTATTACCACAAAACACAGATCAATTTTGAATTTGGGTGTTGTCACTTTTACTGTTCTAGAATAATGGAGAAATTGCTGAATTTTTTGTTTCGGTTCTCTTACTTAAATTTGCCTCAACCAAATGTTATGAAACTTATACAAATTGCTTATTACCACAAAACTTAGATCTGTTTCGAATTTGGGTGGCGTCACTTTTACCGGTCTTGAGTTATGATCCTTTATAATGTTATATGTAAGCAGGGGCATCATCTGTGTCCATGGACACATTCTCCATTTATTTCACATACCACGATCCAACTCCAGTATACTTGGATTAAATTAATAAAATCTTTACACTGATATTGAGATTGATAAATTGAAGCTTTAATTTTAAAAATTTTCAGGTTTGCCAAACTTTTCTTTGGACTGACAGAGCCATTTTACTTACTTCTGATAAGATGCCTTGTAAATATTCCATTTTATTCTTGCAGCAATTTCAATATGCACTGGGTCGGTGTATCATGTGCTCTTGGTGCAGCAGCTTAATCTGATTATGTCCGTTATCAACTCATAATATTTACTGAACAGTTGAATCAGCATTAGTGCATATTGTTTCAGAGTTGGTTGTTTAACCCTCTTACCTACTTAAGGCAAATTGATTTTGAAGGGATTAATAATAATTTCCTGTAATTGGTGGCAAATTTCATAAAGTTTTTGGTTAAGGCAATTTATCATGAAGTTATGGTCACATCAACTTCAATCTTAGTTCAAATGTTCATCATGAACTATTTAAATAATATGACAAGTAACGGTTTTGACCCTGATTTCAGGGTACACTGAACATGTTAAGTTTTATCTGCATAGATATATTTCTCTGTATGGACATTTTGTGTACAAGTTGATATTTTTGTGTATTGACAGGTTGTACATCATGATCCATGTCGAGGTGGCGCAGGACAGTGGATGAGTCTGTTTAGGTTTAAACACTTGGCAACAGGACAGTATTTGGCTGCTGAGGTATATTTATAATAAACAATATATTGTGTGTGGTAAACATTATTACTCTGTATTACCTTTATAAGATTATAATTATGTGTGTCAATATCTCACCTTTGTTATTAATTGGTGTCTGTTTAAAAATTTTCTCGAAAACCACCTTGCCAATTTGAACCAAACTTTGCCACAATAACCATAAGGGTACAGTAGACACAGGCAAATCAGGGGCTGTTTTCACCAAAAATCTTACAGCAAAAACTTATCCTACGTTATACTGTAATTATCTTGACATACAAGTGTTTTTTTTGTAAGATTTTTTGTGAAATGAGTCACAGATATTTATAATGAAGTTCCGGTTTGGTAGGCATATTAGATACACATCAGTCTCTTCTTGGTTTATACTCTTCTGTTATGAAACTTGCTGCCTGTTGCTGTATTCTTATGAGTTTGTTGATGTTTGTAGTTCAGCAAATTATTATGTCACTATCATCTGACACAGAGTCTCTAAACTTACAGTTGTTTGATTTTAATTTAAGATAATTTATGATTGATGACATAATAATGCATCAAGTTTTGGTTTGTGCAGATTCTGTTAATGTTTAAGTTATAGTTTTTGAAGTGTAACATTATGTTAATTAGGGAAAGTGGCATACATGTGCTATAAAATGAAGAAGATGTGATATGATTGCCAATGAGACAATTCTCCACCAAACAAAATACAGAAAACCCAGTTTGCTGTCTATTTGACAGTTCATTCCCTGTTAGCTATTACTTAGAAAACTTTAATAGATAGATTGAAACTAAACAACAAAAATTATCAGGAAGGCATGATCTAATTGAAAAATTCAAGTAGCGGAAATTGTCAACTGACTCCTTATTTTGGTTATTGTCCTTAAAAGACTTTTCTCCATTTTAAGCATGTGAGCTATTCTCATCACTTGGTATCTGTCATCTGCGGTCCTTTAATTTTTACAAATTCTATGAAAATATTTGGCAAATGGGAACCAAACTTGGCCACAATCATCCTTGGGGTATCTAGTTTAAAAACCCTGCCTACTAACCAACATTAATAAAATTAGAGCATAAGGGTAAAATTCAAATCTTGTCTTTTATCTTGAAAACCGCTATAGATAGAGAAAATCTGACAGTGGCAAAAATGTTGAGAAGTTGTGATCTACCTACCACCACTGTTCGACGATTTCTTATAGGAATAATTGCCTTATAATGACAATTTTTGTTTTGTTTACTATGCCCCCGCAACTGAAAGTTGGGGGCATATTGTTTTACCCCTTTCCGTCCGTCTGTCTGTCCGTCCGTCCGTCCGTCCGTCCCATTATGGGTATATAGCTATTCCAGATAACTTCTCCTACAGTTTGAATGCTAGGAAGATTTCACTTTGCTGGCTGTTTGTATATATATTGAAGGTGTGCATGTGGTCAGGGTTTTGATTTTTATTGATAGTTGCTCTTTTGGGAGATAGTTGAACTTTGTCATTTTTTGGAGTATTTACTTGCATAAGAGGTGCATAGCGTTTCTGGATAACTCCTCCTACAGTTTGAATGCTAGGAAGTTTTCATTTTGCTGGCTGTTTGTACATATATATTGAAGGTGTGCATGTGGTCAAGGTTTTGATTTTTATAAGAGGTGCATAGGGTTTCCAGATAATTCCTACATGAACCATAGACCTATGTGCTCCCATGCTCAACTTTGTGTATTTTAAAATAACACTTTGCATCTGCAGGGGCATCAGTTGTGTCTCCCAGACACAATAATATCTCAAAGAAAGTCCTACATTGACTTTGTTATAATACAGTTACTTCAGAATGGAGTGTGGAGGCATCACTTTGTCTAGTTGTCTTTTATCTTAAAAAGTATAATAGATAGATAGAAACTTTTTATTGCAGAAAAATGATCAGCAAGACAAGATCTACTAATAATTTAACATGGCCGAAACTGGGTCAACTCATTATTAAAGTAATTGCCTTTTAGTTACAATTTTTATGATTTTTTTTTTCTTACATTTGTGCCTATAATCTAGAAAACTATATAAGATAAATAAAACTTTAAATAGCAAAATGTATCAACAAGACAAGATCTACAAATAGTCAACACGGCCAAAATCATCAGTTGAAGCCTTATAGGAGCTATTGCCCTCAAGTGACAATTTTTACAATTTTTTTTGCGTATTTGTCTTGAAAACTATAATGGATAGATAGAAACTTAAACAAAAATGATCAGCAAGGCAAGATCTGCAAATAGGTCATCAAAGATGAAATTGTCAGTTGTCTAATTATAGAATTAATTGTCCTTAAATAACGATTTTTACCCTTTTTTGTGTTTTGGACAAAAACTATAGAAGATGGAGAAAAACTGTTAACATAATTATTAGCAAAAAAGAGATTTTAGTCATGAATTGCATTCTAGTCTACAATGCTTGAGAGTATCCATTCTTGAAGATGCACATAGACTTAAGTCAGTGACACAGGCTCTTTAAAGCCTCTAGTTTACAATTTACAAAAAAGAGTTCTCATTAAAATTTTAATTATGCATTATATATGATATATATGGTTTAAAAAAATCATTTTTTTTCTTAATATTTATAGATTGATAAAGACCCAGCAAAGGATAGTATGCGAGACAAATTACGAGGATCTCCAACAAATCCTGTATACTGTTTAGTATCAGTGCCACATGGACATGACGTGGCAACAATCTTTGAATTAGATCCAACATCTATGACTAAAGATTCTCATGTTCCGAGGTTAGAATATTGATTTATTTTTTTTTATAATGAATTTTCTTTATTGTAACAAATAGACTAGCACAACATGTATGAACAAAGGTATACAGAATGGCATATTCACACAAAGGAAGTATTAAATAATAAAACAACAATTGAATATATAATGGTGCAACAATAGGTTGAACACAAATAATTATCTAATAACAATGGAATCTAATTCGTTCTTGCAATATCTATTTGTGGTGTTTAAATCAAAATCCGACATTTATTAATAATTCTATAATAGGGGCCCAGGGACTCCAGTATTTGTTATATTCCTCTACAGACAGGTTTTTATATGAAATATGTTTTTCTAAGTTCAAGTGTTCCTTTAAATAGTTTTTTAAAGCATTTAAATTTGGCAATACTTCTTGTAATTTTGTTCGGTAAATATAGTATTTTGTAAGCAGAATAATCTTATTTTTAACAAAATTCAATTTAACATTTTCGTAGTTACCAAATAGAATAATCTTAATATTCAAAGGCAGTTCAATATTTTTCATTTCAAAAATCCAGTTGTTTAGTGCATGCCAGAGACTGGCGACCATCGGACAGCTTGAGAATAAATGTTCTATGGTCTCTGGTTCTTCTTTGCAAAATTTACATATGTTGCTACTATTTATTTTCATCTTATAAAGTAGTGAATTAGTTCCTAAAATTCTATGAATAATTCTATATTGGAACCAGCAAAGCTTAGTGCTTTTAGTATATTTTGTACACGAAGTGTGTATTTTTTTCCAGTTAATACCAGTCATATTAAGATGGTTCTCCCATTTTTCCTTTGCAGCAAAAGTAATATATTTCTCTTTAATACTTTGTATATGTCATTTGAATCTTTTTTTGATTCAAAGAAAATACTTATATTAAAAGGTAGTATTGCTTGAATTTTTTTCTCCTTTACTTCAATCGTGTTTAACCACTCATTAAGCGAGTGTGCTATTCCATAATAATGTAAAACATTTGGCCTAAATTGATATAATTGTTGGAAATTTTGAAATGACATAATTTTGCCCTGATAATCTAACAGGTCATGCACTGTCCAAATTCTAGCTTTAGCCCAGTTTTTATAGTAGACACTTGAACCACCAATTTTAATGTTTTCTCCCTCCCATAAAGGATAATATAGAACTTCATCAATACATCTTGGTTTTCTAATTTGATTAAGGGTTTTCCAAGCATCAAAAACCTCTTGCCAAAATTTATTTGATGACCTTTTAATAGGCCCAATATAACTTAGTTCAATAAAATTTATTTGCTCCATAATAGAGACTAATCTCACCCACTTTGAATTCGAGTTATACAGCCGTCTTACCCATGTAAGTTTCAGTCCCTGTATAAATGCTTTTAAATTTAGCATTTTTAAACCACCCATATAATAATCTTGACATAAAAGATCTCGCTTGACCTTATCTGGTTTATTATCCCAGATAAAAGCGTACATTTTATTTGTTAAATTACGTAACATATTCTCCTCTGGACTAGGGATAGATAGAAACAGATGATTTAATTAAGATATGACCAAAGTTTTTAAAATAGTAATCTTTCCAAAGGGGGTGAGATACTGTTTTGACCATTTTTTCAAAGTAATTCCAAGGAGCTTAAATGTACTGGAGCCCCATTTCAATCCCCACTTTACACAAATTTGATCATGACTATGTTTTTTGCTACCTATCCAAATAACACTTGTTTTTTCTATGTTAATCTTAAGTCCTGAGATTTCAGCATAAAATTGGAGAACACGAAGAGATGCATCGAGCGATCTGGCGAGCCATCTAATATCAATGATGTATCATCTGCATATTGAGAAAGTACAAATTCTGTATCATCTATAGTAATACCCTTTATCTCCTTACTATTTCTTACTAAAATGCCTAATATTTCTGCACATAGCAAGAAAATATAAGGGGACAAAGGATCTCCCTGTCTACAGCCTCTCTCTACAATGAAGAATTCTGACAGAAAACAGTTTTGTGTCACTGCAGCTGTTATATTATTATAGAAGGTTTTAACCCAGGATATAACTGAATCACCAAAATTAAAATATCTTAATGTATCATAAAGAAAGGACCAAGATATGGAATCAAATGCCTTCTCAAAATCAATCAGCAAAAGAATTCCCGGAATATTATTTTCTTCAGTAAAATGTAGAATATCATATATCAATCGACAATTTTCACCTATATATCTACCTGGAATAAAACCAGTTTGATCAGAACATATTAATTTTGACAAAACAGATTTTATTCTCTCTGCTATACAGCTTGATGCCAATTTATATGTAGAATTTAGAAGAGTAATAGGTCTCCAATTTTTGTCTCGCCTTGACGGAGTCAAAAAGCGAGACATAGGTATGCTGTTTCCGGCGTCGGCGGCGTCAACAATGTATTAGTTTGTGATTCGGTCTAGTTCATGGTGAACCACTAGTGGTAGGTCAATGATATTTGGTATGCAGTTGTATTAGCTTTGGCACATCTCATTACCATGGAGATTAATTGGCCCCGCCCCCTCAGTCAAGGTCTATTGACTTTGAAACTTTGCTTCGTTTACATGTATTAGTTTGTGATTAGGTCTAGTTCATGGTGAACCACTAGTGGTAGGTCAATGATATTTGGTATGCAGTTGTATCAGCATTGGCACATCTCATTACCATGGAGATTATTTGGCCCCGCCCCCTCAGTCAAGGTCTATTGACTTTGAAACTTTGCTTTGTTTACATGTATTAGTTTGTGATTAGGTCAGTTTATGGGGAACCACTAGTGGTAGGTCAATGATATTTGGTATGCAGTTGTATAAGCATTGGCACATCTCATTTCCATGGAGATTATTTGGCCCCGCCCCCTCATTCATGGTCTATTGACTTTGAAACTTTTGCTTCGTTTTCATGTATTAGTTTGTGATTAGGTCAGTTCAAGGGGAACCGTTAGTGGTAGGTCAATGATAATTGGTATGCAGTTGTATAAGCATTAGCACATCTCATTTCCATGGAGAATATTTGGTCCCGCCCCCTCAGTCATGGTCTATTGACTTGGAAACTTTTGCTTAGTTTACATGTATTAGTTTGTGATTAGATCAGTTTAAGATGAACCGCTGATGTTAAGTCAATGATATCTGGTATGCAAATGTATTGGCATTTGCAAGTCTCATTTCCATGGATTATATAGCCCCACCCCCTCATCATGGTTCATTGATTTTGAAACTTTTACATAGTTTACAAGTCAATGTTTGTGTTTAGGTTTGTTGAAAGGGAACGACTTATGATAAGTCTTTGGTATTTGGTATGCAGTTGTATTACCATTGGCACATCTCATTTACATGGAGATTGTTTTGCCATGTACCTTCAGTCATGGTTCTTTGACTTTGAATATTTGCATAACTTACATGTTAAAGTATTGCTATTTTAATTTCAACATTTGCATTATCAAAAGTACAAAAAGGCGAGACATATCTCTGTGTTAACAGTTTATTAAGAAATTGTTTTGGTTTACCTTCTTTTGGAATACATGTAATCACTCCCTGTCTCTGGGTGACAGACATTGACCCTTCCCATATCCAAAATTTATAGATCTAAGAACAAATTTACCAATATCAATCCAAAAAAATTAAAAAAATTCTGCAGTGTAACCATCAGATCCTGGACTCTTGTTATTTTTCATTCTCTTTAATGCTGCAGTTAATTCAGAAAAGCTAATATTGATTTATGATGTTATATAGATCAACAATAATATAAAATACAATATAATTGTCACACTTTAAAATAGTGACAACATCCAGTTATGCCACTGTGTCATAAGGGACCAAATACTTTTTTCTACTTTTTTTCAACAACAAAATATTGTGACTTCATTTTTGTCGAGCATGCTACTTTTGTCGCAAAAGCGAGACATAGCGATCCTACATTCCGTCAGCGGCATCGTCGGCAGCGTCCACAAATATTCACTCTGTGGTTTAAGTTTTTGAAATTTTAATAACTTTCTTAAACTAGCCTGCATTTCAACCAAACTTGGACAGAAGCTTGTTTATGATCATAAGATAGTATGCAGAAGTAAATTTTGTAAAAAAAAACCCTATTTATCCGTATTTTACTCATAAATGGACTTAGTTTTTCTGCCAGTTAACATTACATTCACTCTGTGGTTAAAGTTTTTCAAATTTTAATAACTTTATTAAACTATCCTAGATTTGTACCAAACTTGGACAGAAGCTTGTTTATAATCATAAGATAGTATCCAGAAGAAAATTTTGTAAAAAAAAAAATCCTTTTTATCCGTATTTTACTCATATATGGACTTAGTTAACAGTTAACATAACATTCACTCTGTGGTTAAAGTTTTTCAAATTTTAATAACTTTCTTAAACTATCCTAGATTTGTACCACACTGGGACAGAAGCTTGTTTATGATCCAAAGCTAGTATCTAGAAGGAAACTTTGTAAAAATTTAGTTCCTGTTTTTCCGTATATTACTTATAAATGGACGTAGTTTTATTCCAGTTAACATTACGTACAGTCTGCAGTTAAAGTTTTTACAACATTTATTAAATTCATAAACCTTCTTGGATTTTTACCAAACTTGAACAGAACTTCTTACAATCAAAAGCTAGTATCTAGAGGAAAATTTTTAATAATTTTTTCCCCATTTTTGTTGAGCCTGCGACTAACAGCAAAAGTAGGTGAGACACTGGGTTCCGCGGAACCCTTACGAATTATTTATCCAATTTTCATAATAGGACAAAAATGCAACATTAATTTTACGATTTCAGGATATAATGCTATTAGAATTCCCACTTATCAACCATATGTTATTCCAAGTTCTGCATAATGTTTACCACAATTATATTGAACAAAATATGGTGTCTGAAACTTATTGGTATTTTGTGTATTTTTACTTTGATCTTTTTTTGTGATAATTTTTCATATCAAGCTACTCATTTGAGATAAGAAAATTATTGCTAGTATCTAAGGCCTGTTAGCGACAACATATTTTTTCTCAGTCGAGAGAAAGAGAATGCATGACATAATGAGCCTACGTCATTGACACTGTGTAGGAAAACAAATTATCTGTCTTTCAAACTTGAGGATGTTTCTCAGCTACATCTTATCTCACTGCTGTCGCCCTTCGATGGGATTGTAGCTAAGAGACACCCTCTCATTCGAAAAGCCATTGATAATCAATAAATATTGGTTGGAGGGTTAATGAAGTCTGTAGTCATTCATATGCTGTTTTTTTTACAGAAGTTCTTATGTGCGACTTCACCACCTATGTACCAATACATGGATTCACAGTAGTAACATATTTGTGGACAAAGAGGAAGATAAACCAATCAGAAAGAAGGTTTAATTTAATAGTCCTAATTTAAAACTTTTTTTCTTCAATTCTTTGTGTAATTAAACAATTTACCAAACTGTTTATTATCAGAATTTGATGCTCATATTTCAATAAATTTGTTCTTATTTGGTCCTAAACCAGAGACTGGATTTTAGTAAAGCATTTTTGAATCTTGATTACCTAATGACATATATGCCTCTTATTTAAGAGATAAATTTATCTTATTTGAAGCTTGGCCTACATAAAACGTGTTTTACTGTAGCAAATTGAGTTAACCTAGCAACCCTTAGAGGAGCTAGGTAAAGCGATATTCGTGACAGTAAAACCAAGTTTTACATAGGCCAACCTTCAAATTCAATATGATAACCTCTATTTTAATCCAAAATAAACAAATCAGCTCATTTTAGTCATCATTTTTAGTGAAAAATTTGTTTAAACAAAAGTCTGTGAAATGATGTTTTTTTCTTTCTCTTTGGCTACTAAACAAGGTAATTTCATCAAAAGTAAACACCAGCAGCTCTTTTCACAAAAAAAGTTACAAGTAAAATTACTCATAAGTCACGAACATTTTAGTATAACTTACGTTCATTTTTTTGTGAAAAGAGTCTCAGGCGTTTGCAAGCTTCTTGTATGCCTCTGAATGTAATAAAATTTGATAAAAAGGAGATTTTTAGGTGAAAATGTGAGTGTTTTGTTTATTAGTGAAGAAATCACATGTTACATTCCAGAATTCAAAATGTCAGCCTCCCAGAGTTATAGACAGGTAGATAGAAAATTTTCAGTGTTCTCCCCAGGATTTTTGGATAGCACCAGGGTAACGCGTGTGGACAGCTTGGTGACATGATTTGTACAATCAGTCGTGTTGCGTTGCGTCGCTTAGCTATATTTCTAGTTACCGTAGTTTTTATGTCTTTAGTTTTGTTTTAATACTGTGGCACTGTGTATTAAAAGACATTGAGTCCGAAAATTATTGGTAAAAAAGAAGTAAATCAATAAGCAATTTGTATACTTTATTATCTTTTAAAAATAATAAAACATGATTCATTACTAAATATTCATCTAAATAATTATAGTAATTAAATCTTTTATAAAATACATGATCAATAAAAAAAAAATAAATCATTCAAATGAGAATAAAAATGTTCAATCTAAAAAACTTTCTAGTTTCTACATAAAAAGTTGTTGTATTTAAAAGGATTCCTGTCATAAAGAGATATAAAATTAACAAGAACAAATATTGTTGTATTATTTGAACCAGTTTCTATCTTAAATTTTAATAAAAAGAAATTTCATAAACTTTAAAACGTTTTGCCGTAAATATAAATTTCATGTAAATATTAACCTTTCTTGTCTTTGGTGATAATCAAACATAGATATAGACTAAATACTGCACTAAAATCTAAATCTTTATTTGTCATGATCCATTTAAAAAGAATTCCTAAATCTATTTATCTTATGTCTATAAGATCTATAAGTAACCATATTCAATGTCAACAACAAATTCTCCCTACTTTCCTGCCTAAATGACAGGAAGTAGATATAAATAGATTTTTAACATGTGCTTATGAATAATGTTTGCAAGATTACTTCTTTTATTCATTAATTTTGGATATAGATATCAAGTTTGCAGGTACAGTCATGCATTTATTTATAAAATAGATTGCAATTAATTGTAAATAAACTTGAAATTTCTACTTGAATTAACTGGGTCATGTGATATGTACATATGTCCGTCCCCTTTGAATAACTTGTTGACAGGTATTAAAGTTTGAAACCAGACTATCATGCAATAACTATGTCATAATTAAAGATAATTTTGGCAATGGATGAATGTAGAACAGACATCGTGAATTTTGATAATCGTATATTTCTGACAAGGAAAGTTTGTTCTACGTGCTTCATAAAGATTTGAGAAATGTATAATTGTCAATTATCTGTAATGAGCCAACAATTTAATATGTACAAAAAAAGTCATAAAATTATGATCTCTTAATTAAAACACAAAAGAATCATGTTACAAGTGTTAAATACTTTGATTAAATCCAATCAACAAGGTTAACCTCATAAGGTAAATCGATCACGTGGTGTAAACAATCTGGTTTGAACTGGTCAAATTTCACCTGGAATTTTATACCACACGGAAAAGATTTAACAAGTCGTTTAAAACTTTACCGATTTACGATTTTTTAACTGAAAACTTTAGCACCATGGACATAATTAATCAACGCGGTAAGACCGATAGAACCACGCTAAAAAATTATACATCGCAGGCCAGCGGTCCTTTAAGGGCCTGGTGGAACACTGATTTTATGCTGTTTGTCATCCAATCAGAACCATTGATACAAAATGATTGTGTTAGAATTTGATTTTTTTATCCTAATAAATTTTGTCTTGCCTCATCAAAGTGGCTTATATGTGATTGAGACATGCTATTCCTGGTGGTTAGGGTAGCATGAACAATTTGTTAAAGCTTGTGGCTCGGTCAGTGTAAGAGGAACCACTATTGGTAAGTTAATGATATTTGGTATGCAGTTGCATTAGCATTGGTACGTCTCATTTCCATGGATCATTTGACCCTACCCCCTTAGTCATGGTCCAGTTTTTGGTGGGGTTCGTGTTGCTCAGTCTTTGGTTTTCTATGTTGTGTTTTGTGTACTGTTGTTTGTCTGTTTGTCTTTTTCTTTTTTAGCCATGGCATTGTCAGTTTATTTTCGACTTATGAGTTTAAATGTCCATTTGGTATCCTTCGCCTCTCTCTTAAATTCTTTTTAAATTCAACATTTGCATTACACTTTCAAAACTACACACAGGCAAGACATATCTCTGAGTCAGTAATTCTATAACAAAATATAGACTTTGCCATGACAACAAAATACTTGTAGGGTCCAAGAAAACAATTTTATATGGTCATCGCTTTTTCCATCTGTCAATCTGTCAGACCAACCATCCGTCTGGTCTTCTGATACAAAAGCTATCAGGATGGTAATTTCAGTTTCCTTTGCTTGATTTAATTGAAACTGATACATATAGAAGACATAGAGGAGGGGAAGAAACCTATTGATTTTGAAGTCAGCAGGTCAAAGTTCAAGGTCACTGTTACTGAAAATAGATTTTGAAAAAGAATGCTTTCTTAATGGTAATTTGAGTTTTCTGTTAAAACTAAACTTATATATATATATACTGTTGGAAGATATAGAGGAGCAGGAAGAGGCCCATCGGTTTTAGAGTCAATAGGTCAAAGTTTAAGGTTATTGTTGCTGAAAATAGAATTTTTATGGAAAGAAATAGTTTCTGTATGGTATCTAGAGTTTCCATTGTTGGTTTAAATTAAAAATAGTATAGAAGGTAGATATTGTGAAGGGGGAAATTCCAAATGATTTTGAATTTTCGGTTTAAAAGGTCAAAGGTCAAGGCAACAGTTGCTACAAATAGACAAAAAATACAGAAATGGTAGTCATAAATTACTGTACAATTTGTATGAAATTCTTTAAAATTTTGTTTTTTAGGATATGTAAATTTTTTATTTGACATGTACTGCCAGACCTAGCAGGTTAGACAGGGTCATGAAAAATCTGGTCCAATTTCTTTTAAGAAGGGTCGTAGCTCATTTGCTCGCATTTGAGGATTAAAATTTTTTACCTTTGTGCACAGCTTTTTATTACATTTGCACGTATTCATTTAACAGTTAACACGGGTAACGATAAAGGTAATGCATAACAAAATGACTATAAATTATTAATGTTCATAATAGATATGACTGTAAATTATTAACACTATTAAACCTATTTGTTAATTTGAATTATATATTTTTATACATAAATTTGCGTTCATATTATGTTATGATGTTGTCTGCGTCTGAAGACCTTTTGGTTCGCAGACAATAACTTGAGTATAAGTGCATGGATCTCTATGAAATTTTAGCACAAGGTTCCATACTACTAAAGGATGGTTGGGATTGTTTTTTGGGGCTATTGTACTAGTGGTTTTGTAATTAGGGGCCAAAAAAGGTCAGTTTTACTGGTTCATAGAAAATAAATTGGTTCACAGACAATAACTTTAGTATAAGTGTATGGATGTGTAAGAAATTTTTGCACAAGGTTCTATACCACAAAAGGAGGGTTGGGATTGATTTTGGGGGTTATTGTGATAGCTGTTTTGTAATTAGGGGCCAGAAAGGGGTCAAAAACAATTATTTGTCTGGTTTTAAGACAATAACTTGAGTATAAGAGTAGATATCTCTGTTAAATTTTAGCTCAAGGTTCCACACGGTTGGGATTAATTTTGGTGTTATTGTCATTGCTGAATAGGAATTAGGGGCCAAAAGGCCTAACAAAAACAATTATTTGTCTGGTTCACAGACAATAACTTGAGTATAAGTGCATGGATCTCTGAAATTTTAGCACAAGGTTTCATACCACTAAAGGATGGTTGGGATTGTTTTTGGGGGCTATTGTACTAGCGGTTTTGTAATTGGGGGCCAAAAAAGGTCAGTTTTACTGGTTCATAGAAAATAAATTGGTTCACAGACTATAACTTTAGTATAAGTGCATGGATCTCTATTAAATTTTAGCACAAGGTTCCATACGACAATAGGAAAGTTGTGATTTATTTTGGGGGTTATTGTTGTAGTTTTTATACGCCCGTCAATTTTTGACGGGATTTTTTATGGTATACAAATGTCCGGTGTCTGTCAGTCCGTCCGTCCGTCGTCCGAAAACATGTCACACCGTAACTTGAGTACGACTTATCCAAATTTCATGAAACTTAACATAGTTGTTTCTTATGATGGTCAAACGATCTGTATACTTTTTGGTGAAAATAAGATTATAACTTTTTGAGTTACGGGACTTAGTAACTATAACAGGTGAGTGCTTTTTATACGACCGCAAAAAATTTTTTGTGGTCGTATATTGGTATGACGTTGGCGTCGTCGTCGTCGTTGTCGTTGTCATTGTCGTCTTGCGTCGTCCGAAGACACATTGGTTTTCGCACTCTAACTTTAGTTTAAGTGAATGGATCTTTATGAAATTTTACCACAAGGTTCAATACCACAAAAGGAAGATTGGGATTGATTTTTGGGGTTATGGTACCAACAGTAAAGGAATTAGGGGCCAAAAGGGGCCAAAAATAAGCATTTTTGTAACTTCCAGACATAACTTGTGTGTTAGTGTATGGATCTCTCTGACATTGTACCACAAGGTTCCATATCACTAAAGGAATGCTGGGATTGATTTTAGGGGTAATTGCCTCAAAATTTTAGGAATTAGGGGCCAAAAAAGGGGCAAAAAACAAGCATTTTTCTAGTTTCATGACAATAACTTGTGTGTAAGTGTATGGATCTTTCTGAAATTGTACTACAAGGTTCCATATCACAAAGGGAAAGCTGGAATTGAGTTTGGGGGTAATTGCCGAAACGTTTAGGAATTGGGGGCCAAAAAGGGGCCAAAAAACACATTTTTCTAGTTTCCAGACAATAACTTGTGTTCAAGTGTATGGATCTCTCTGAAATTATACTGCAAGGTACCATACCACAAAGGAAAGGCTGGGATTGATGATGGGGGTAATTGCCTCAATATTTTAGGAATTTGGGGCCAAAAAGGCCAAAAACAAGCATTTTTCTAGTTTCAGGACAATAACTTGTGTGTAAGTGTATGGATCTTTCTGAAATTGTACTACAAGGTTCCATATCACAAAGGGAAAGCTGGGTTTGAGTTTGGGGGTAATTGCCCTAAACGTTTAGGAATTGGGGGCCAAAAAGGGGCCAAAAATAAGCATTTTTCTAGTTTCCAGACAATAACTTGTGTTCAAGTGTATGGATCTCTCCGAAATTGTACTGCAAGGTACCATACCACAAAGGGAAGGCTGGGATTGAGTTTGGGGGTGATGAATCATAAGGTGGTTCAAAAAATTTGGGGGGGGGGGATTTTTTTTTTTTTTTCCTTTTTTTTCTTTTTTTCCTTTTTTGTTTCTTTTTTCACATGTCGCGCCGTATCTCAAAAACGATTTATGATTATTGCTTAAAATTTTACACACTTCTTAGTTATATTAATCTAAAGATCTGTATACTTTTTGGTTTTGATTCAAAATTTTATTTTAGAGATATTGAGTTTTTTGTAAAAAAAAAAAGGGGGTTTTCGCATGTCACGCCGTATGTCAGAAACTATTTATGCTTATTGCATAAAAATTCACACACAAGACAACGGGTGCAGCTGTTTATTTAGTATGTAGGGGCCAAAAAGGAACCAAGAACAAGCATTTTTCTTGTTTCAGGACAATGATTTGTGTATACATAAGAGCATGGATTCTATGAAATTTTACCACCAGGTTCCATACTTCATAAGGAAAGTTTTGATTGATTTTTGGGGGTCATGGTCTAAACTGTTTATTAATGTAGAATTGTTGGGGTTCTTTGATATGCTGAATCTAACCATGTATTTAGATTTTGGATATTGGACCATAATAGGTGAATGTCCAATTTAAAATTTTTAAGTTCTTAGACCACATTCATTCTGTGTCAGAAACCTATGCTGTGTCAAATATTTAATCACAATATAAAATTAAGAGCTGTATCAAGCTTGAATGTTGTGTCCATACTTGCCCCAACTGTTCAGGGTTCGACCTCTGCGGTCGTATCAAGCTGCGCCCTGCGGAGCATTTTATTTGTTATTATCTTAGATATCATTATAATATCTAATATCTAATACTATTAATTATGATTTTAACCTTATTTTACATGATTTCCAAAGCATCAGTAAATACAGGTGAGCGACACAGGGTCTTGAGAGCCTCTAGTTTCTTAACCATTTCAATGGGGTTTAATTCAAAGTCTTGAATTTTTGCATTGGGGTTCTTTGATATGCTGAAATTAAGTGTGTATTTAGATTTTGGATTTTGGGTCCTGTTATCAAATTGGTTCACATTGGGGTCCAAAAGGTCCAAAATAAAACTTTGTTGGTATTCTTCAAAAATTGAATTCTTGGGGTTCTTTGATATGCTGATTCCAACCATGTATATAGAATTTGGATGTAGGACCATAATTGGTAAATATCCAATTTTAAATTATTTAAGAACTTATACCACATTCATTCTGTGTCAGAAATTATGCTATTAATAAATATTTAATCAGAATCTAAATTCAGAGATGTTTTGCGCAATCAACAGAAATTTTAAGTTGAGTCATAGTTGAAAATAGATACAGCTTCATATCTAATTTTAGAAGACTTTGTATTAATGAGGAATAATATTTTGGAATTGTTTTTTTCTTCATTTTTTTTTACAATACTTTTCTAATTACTTTGTATAAATTGCTTATTTCTTGACTAACTTCAATGTGGGTTAATTCAAAGTCTTGAATTCATGTGGTTCTTTGATATGCTGTATCTAACCGTGTATTTAGATTTAAGATTTTGGACTCCATATTTGAATTGGTACAAGGGTCCAAAATTAAATTTGTTTGATTTCACCAACAGACAAAAATTTATCACCTGTTTTGTTAAAAAATTTCACGAATGACCCTGAAAGCTTCTATTACAATCCTTAAGTTCTGTTGCAAAATTGCAATAGCTTGTGATAAGTATTTACATTTCCAAAAGTAAATTTGAAATATATAATTAATATCTGATTTAAATATTTTTAGGTTGGTTGTGCACAGATAAAAGATGACAGAGAAGCTTTTGCCATTGTACCAGTATCTCCACAGGAAGTTAGAGATTTGGACTTTGCAAATGATGCCAGTAAAGTGTTGGCTGAAATAGCTCAGAAATTAGAGAAAGAATCAATCACTCAAAATGAGAGAAGGTAGAGATATTATATTTATTACAGTTCAAGGGTATCGTTTTAGAGCATAACAAAATACATCTATTTTTATGCCCCCGCCATAGCGGAGGGGGCATTAAGTTTTACCCTTGTCCGTCTAGAATGTACATACGTCCCAAAATTGGTTTCCATTCTCTAACTTTAGTTTGCCTCAACCAAATGTTATGAAACTTATACACAATGCTTATTTCCACAAAACTCAGATCAAATACAAATTTTGGTAGCGTCACTTTTACAGTTCTTGAGTTATATCCCTTTATAATGTTATATGCAAGCGGAGGCATCTGTGTCCCTTGGACACATTCCCCATTTATTTTTTCATTTTATAGAAAAGTGCATTCAGAGAACAGAATGATTGACTTTAATAAATCCTAATATAAAATTATAATAGATAGGTTGAAACTGTAAACAGCAAAAATTATCAGCAATAGAAGATCTACAAAAAAGCAAATTTGACTAAATCCATCAGATGACTTCTAACAGGAGTTATTGCCCTTAAAGGATGATTTTCAAGTTTTTGCACATTATCTTGAAAACTATTATATAAATAAAGAAACTGCAAACAGCAAAAATGATCAGCAATACAAGGTATATTTTTGACAAATGAGCAATTCAGGCTCTAATGAGCCTTTTGTTAAACTCTTGTTAATTTGGCGAAAACATGTTTTGAGCGGAACAACAATATCTCTCATAATAGAATAAATCATAACTGTAGTGGCCTCAGATACCACCATTTTAAGTTCTTCTTTCAACTTTGTAATGTTTGCTACATTATATTCGAGTTTAAATCAGGGGCATCAGCTATAACTTTTGGTCCTTTCAATACTATTAATCTATTTTCTTGTTGAATATCATCTACTAACAAAATCATATGTGAGCAATATTCTTTTATCTAGATTCCTTTGAAACTCCCAATAATATAATGTATTGCATGCTGTCTTCCTGCTATTCCTACATTTTCAAAATATATATTCCCTCTTTTCCTCCAAACAAAGAAGAATAGATGTTGTTATAAGGTAATTTGTTGTTTTAGTAACTATTTAGATTAAATTGATATACAGAATATTATAAGTATTTAAGTGCATAAACAATGTTCAAGCCAGGACTTGAAAAGGGCAGGGTGCTTATCTCAAAAAGTTTTTTTTGGTGTGAAAACTGAATAGGAAAAAGGCACCGTGTGAGGACAAAATTTGAAAGAGTACTTAAGCAAACTAATATTGATTCCTCATTTTTCTTGTTAAATAGGCATAAGTTGTTGTCTCTTTGAAACATTCCCCTTATCTGTTCTCTATTCTATAATTATACATGTATGCTAAAGTCAAATGTTAAATGATTTATTTATCTCTTTTATCAGTGTCTAAACAAGGGAAAAATTTTATATATTATCATCAATGTGTTCTTTGCTCTTAGGTTATCTTTTGTATAATCATAAATGTTTCTATACAAATTGAAAAAAAAAATATAATAAGGGGTTTATATGAGATGCATTGAGCAATTGTATACTGTATGCATTTAGTATTCTAGAAAGTAGAAGATTAGTTCGCACAATGTAGTATTAATGTTGAAGAACTGCGTAAAAATGCTTTTCATTTTGTTGTTTTCTAAAAAGCTATTTAAGTCAAGTTTATTCCCTCCTTTCTTGGTGATTTTACTTTCACAAGCTTTAATTTATATTTTTTCATAAGTTTGTTAAAAGCATATTCCTGGTATCCTGGTCTGGTGTAATATGTTAGTAACCTGGTTGTTTTATGAGTTTATACATATATATATAAGAAGATGTGGTATGAGTGCCAATGAGTCAACTCTCCATCCAAGTCACAATTTGTAATTGTAAACCATTATAGGTCAAAGTAAGGCCTTCAACACAAAGCCTTGGCTCACACCGAACAGCAAGCTATAAAGGGCCCCAAAAATGACTAGTGTAAAGCCATTCAAACAGGAAAACCAACAGTCTAATCTATATAAAAAACGAGAAACATTTATGAACCACATCAACAAACGACAACCACTGAACATCAGGTTCCTGACTTAGGACAGGTGCAAACAAATGCAGCGGGTTTAAACGTTTTTATAGGCTCCAACCTTCATCCTACCTGAAACAATAGTGTAACATCACAACATAGAAAGGCACATATGTCAAAATTATTATCCGTAAAGAGACAGATGATTCTTAAAAGTTATCTTCATGCAAAATGCTAAAGGAAGTCAAATTTCTTAAACTGTGGTTAAGGTAGAAATTTTAATCATTATAATAATCTGTTCTCTACCAGGATCTCAAATTAGTTACTGAGAGAGAATTTTACTTTTCACATTCAGTCATTGAATTTCGTGAACTTATATTATAAAATATAGAATATGTTGTCATAATTAGGGCCCCGCCGAATGTTGGGTCTCCCTATAGTGATCCGTCCGTCTGTTCCTCCATCTGTCCGTCTGTCAGTAACAAATTGTGTCCGCTCTATATCTAGAGAACCTTTATGATTTCATACTTTATGAAATCATGTATATTAACCAACACCAGAGGGTGTGTCATAATGTTTGTACAACTTCCTAGGTCAAAGGTCAAGGTCAAAAACTTTGGTTTCAGTTGACAACCCCATGTCCTATGGTAAAGATCGTGTCCGCTCTATATCTTGAGAACCGTTATGATTTCAAAGTTTTTACTTGACATGTATATTAACCAACACCAGAGGGTGTGTCATAATGTATGTACAACTTCCTAGGTCAAAGGTCAAGGTCAAAAACTTTGGTTTCAGATGACAACCCCATGTCCTATGGTAAAGATACAAATTTTTTACCACACCTTATTCACAGTGGGCCCACAGAGATGGCTCACATCTCAATTATGTCTAGTCCATGTAGTCTGGAACTTGATCTGGGTAGATATGAAAAGTGCCGTGTTATCTGAGAATATGTTATTTTTTATTTGGATGCAAAATTTAATTTCTTTTTCCATTGCAAAAGAAATAAAATGAAGGAAACAATTCCTTGTCTAAACAGCAGTAAAAAATAATGTCTTTATGAGTTTCATTTACAAAGAAAGTTAAAAGATCTAATAGATTCAACAAATTTTTAACTTGTACAAAGTATAGGTTCCTTTTGACCAACAGTCAATGGAACGTGCAGAGAAAGGACTCTTGATTAAATGATTATTGTAAAATTTGTTGTATATATGTTTTATGTTATTTGTGTTTTGTTTGTCACAAGCAATATATGCTTACGCTTTATGACAATAAAGATTATTATTATTATGAAATTAGTTTGAAAGCATTTAAACTATTGAAGATATCTAAGAATAACTTTCAATATATTAATTTTTATGTGCTAAAAAATTGAAATTATGTAAGAAACATTCTTTAATGTCGTTGGATTTAAATATTATTGGGGAAAAGGTGATTTTCTGAAATCACTATACTGCTGACTAGTGTTTCTTTGAACTATTTCAGGAGTGTAACTGTAACCCTCTATGCTTTATAACTTTATAACTTTAAATTTTTGTCACTGATGAAGTCACTAATTAGGATGCAGCCAATTGAAGGTCTATAGTAATCAGCTTGTCTGTCTGTGTGTCCTTCTGTCCATCACAAATCCTTTGCACTCTCTAACTTTTTAACCCTTTGGAATTTGGTAATTATACTTCACATGAAGCCTAAAAATATTTGTGCTAACTGTAACCTGCTGTCAAAAAAAAGGATCAGTCAGTCTGCAAAACTGTTTTTTTTTGGGTTTTTTTTATCGGCAAACCCTGGTTTATAAGCCTTCTTTGATTTTGACATAATTATTCTCCAGGACTAAAAGGTGTGTCGAGTACAAGGAAGAAAGTGAAGTTCAAAGTTAAAAACTGTGGTCAACTAAGTCACCCCAGTGCCTATGTAGAAAATTAGTTTTTTTATTTCATACACCTAATGAAACCTTGCATAATTATTCACCACTTCTTAAAGGTGTGTCAGGTACTGAAGAAAACCATACATAAAGAGTCATAAACGAAAACTTTGTTGAAGTTAGCAATCGCTGTGCATATGTACAAAAAAGTTGTTTCAGTTTTAAAACACATTGCATTTATGGGTTGAATTGGGGTGCATCTGAAAATTTCTGCCTAACATTGGTATATGCTATATTTAAATAACCCATTCCAATTTACTTTTTAATTTGAGTAGAGCCCTCTGTGATGGCTCCTGTCACTATTCTCTGGCTTACAGCTATAGGTGCACTTGTGCAGTATGGTATATTATTGCACACTAACTTTTGGTTAGGTTCTGTATAAAATATATTGTTGCTACACAATGATAAACCCTATTGCATGAATATACAGTTTTACATGCAAAATATAGATTTATATGTTTGAATTCTTACAATTATCTTCCTCATTTATGCATGTATAACTTGCATTATTTCTTTCTTACCTTTTACCTTTTGGTTTTTAATTTTTTTGAGTTGTAGGAATAAACCACATTGCATAAATATGTTGTTTTGCATGCCAACTATAGATTTATGTATAAACAATTATCAATTATATTTTATAATAAATATTTGTCATTTATTTTGAAAAACAACTAAAAAATGAAGAACAAAAGTTAAGATTTGTTTATCTTGCTCATTTATATTCGTAAATACTAATTAATATCAGATTGTCTTTTATAATGATGAAAAAAAGGCAACATGATAAAGATAAGAAAATAACAATAGGTGTACAATGCTATTACATACTAAACTTTAGACACTAAAGATTATCTGAAAGTTTCAAGAAAATCCATTCAGTGGTTGGGAAAACAAACGTACAGATGAATGGACATAATGATCAGTATAATGCACTGCTTTGCTAGCAGGCGGTGCCATAAACAGGTGACTACCATAGATTTCCAGTCAACACCAACTTCTTTTTAGGACGAAAAAAAAAAAAGCAAGCAAACACTGATATGAAAACTTTGAATAGGTTCCTGACTTGAAATGGGAATATAAACGTCACAGGTTTGGTGAAACTTTTTTCTCAGATACTTGACCTTATGTGAATAAAAATATGTATATTTGAATATTGTTTATGATTTCTTTATAGAGTATTAACACAGTTATTATCAGATTTGATTTACTTTGTGACAATGCAAGAATCTCACAATACTGGTGGTGATCCATTAAAAGTAGAAATGTTGAAATCTAAGGAATGTAGAGAAAGACAAAAACTACTGCGAGAACAGAATATCCTGAAGCAGGTAAAATTCAATTTTAAAGAAGATTACTCAGTATTATGTTATTATTTCACCTCCCTAACTTCAGCAAATTGAGGGAGTTTGTCCCTATAGGATGAAAGAAATTTGGGAAAAAGTGAAATAGAATGACAAATATCAGCCCAAGTGCCAGATTTGACCATATCAAGTGCATATTGTGCATTATATTTCAGAGAGTAGAAGACCTTGATGCTTGATAATTTGTATACAGATGCTTTGTGTCCGTTGTCGTCTGTCTTCTTCCATTAACTTTTACAAAAATCGTCTCCTCTGAAGTAGTTTCAAATTGGCTGATTGGAACCAAACTTGGTCACAATAAACATTAGAGTATCTAGTTATCTCGCCTGAGATGAAAGTTGCGGAAAACGAGACATGGGGATTGCTTTTCCAGCGACGGCTGTGGTGGTGGCGTCAACAATGGTTAAGTTTTCTGCTTAAGTTAGTTTGATAGGAACTACTTGTGATAGATCATTCATATTTAGTATAAAGTTGCATTACTATCAGTACATATCAGTTTGACGACTATTTCGAGGCCCTGCCCCCTAGGTCATAGTCCAGTGACTTTGAATTAATTAGCAATGTTGCTGTCCATCAGATTGTCTTTTTCTGAATTTTATTTGGACAGGCGAGACATATCTCTGTGTCAACAGTTTATCTTTAAAATGTGCCTGATGATTCTGCCAACATGGCTAAAAATAGACTATAGGGTTAAAATGCAAGTTTTGTCTATTAACTTGGAAACGGCTATAGATACAGAAAATCTGACCTGGGCTGAAATATTAGAATATGGAGATCTATCTACTGACTATGTATGTCAAAACTGTCAGACAACTTCTTAAAGGAGTTCTTGTCCTTAAATGACAAATTTAACCCTTTTTTTTGGTCTTATCCCTAATGATGATTTTTACCAACATTTTGCGTTTGCCTTTTATCTTGAATACAATTAAGGAATGACTGTAATATTTTTTCTGTCTATGAGGAAATAACATAAAAAATGTGGTGCACACCGAATAACCCGCGTAGCAGGTTATTTTAAAGTGTGCACCACATTTTTTATGTTATTTAGAATAGACAGAAAAAATATTACAGTCATTTCTTATAATTTAATTCTAAATTCCATTTTAAACCGTAGTAAACCATGAAAAAACGTTGATGACGTCACTGTCACATGACAAAAATATGTCTATGAGCTGATAAACAAAACAACGTCAGCCAATCCGAAGACGCGTTACATCCAAAATTAAATTATTAATAGATAGCAAGAAAATTAGTCTTGAAGTATTTTTATTGCCCCACTGACTTAGGTTGGGGCAATATAGTTTTACCCTTGTCCATCATTCCGTTATTCAGTCATACTGCAACGAACAGTTATACAGACTTTTTTATGCCCCCACAACAAAATTGAATTCTTTTAAATATTCTGAAAACGACAGGTAGTTGGACTTAGTCATTTTTTTGGTACTAGCTGCATAAAGAGATCATGGTTTGTCCGGCTATCTCCTCCTACAGTTTTGGAGATACTGCTTTAATATTTTGTAGGATGTTCATACACATAATGGAGGTGTGCATGGCCACAAGATTTTGATTTTTTTTTTTTTCAAATATTCTGAAAATGACAGGTAGTTGGACTTAGTAATTTTTTACACGCCCATTTATGGGACGTATTATGGTATACCGTTGTCCGTCTGTCCGTCCATCGTCAACATGTCAGACATTAACTCAAAAACGCTTCAACTAATTTGCATAAAACTTTGATGAATTGTCCATATCTATTGATGTGAGCTCCCTTTCGTTTTTTATAAAATTTAGATTTAAGTTTCTGAGTTATGGGGTTTTATTCATTAAAAAAGGGGGGATTTTCCAGTTTTCATACAATAACTCAAAAATGCTTTTACCAATTTGCAAGAAACTTTGGTCAATTGTTTATATCTTTTGACATGAGCTCCCTTTTGATTTTTATAAATTTTTTATTCTATGTTTCCGAGTTATGGAGTTTTATTCATTAAAAAAAGGGGGATTTTCCAGTTTTTCGGACAATAACTCATAAATGCTTTCAGCAGTTCTCATGAAACTTTGGAGAATTGTTTATATCTATTGATGCAAGCTCCCTTTCAATTTATATAAATTTTAGATTTTACACTTCCCTTATGGGATTTTATTCATAAAAAAGGGGTGATTTTCTAGTTTTCGGACAATACCTTTAAAGTACTTTGAGCAGTTTTCTTTAAACTTTAGTGACTGGTTTATATCAATAAAGATAACCTCCCTTTAGTTTTTCACAAATTTCTGATATGACATTGAGAAGTTATTGAACTTTATTCGTAAAAAATGAGACAGGCGTATCATGCGCTCATGGCACAGCTGTTTATTTGGGTACTAGCTGCGTAAAGAGATCATGGTTTGTCCGGCTATTTCCTCCTGCAGTTTTGGATCTACAGCTTTAATATTTTGTAGGATGTTCATACACATAATGGAGGTGTGCATGGCCACAGAATTTTGATTTCTTTTAAATATTCTGAAAATGGCAGGTAGTTGGACTTAGTCATTGTTTTGGTACAAGCTGCATAAAGAGATCATGATTTGTCCGGCTATCTTCTCCTACAGTTTTGGAAATACAGCTTTAATTTTTTGTAGGATGTTCAAACACATAATGGAGGTGTGCATGGCCACAGGATTTTGATTTTTTTTCAAATATTCTGAAAATGACAGGTAGTTGGACTTAGTCATTTTTTTTTGGTCAGGCGGGGGCATCATTTGTGTCTTACAAACAGCTTAACAATTTCAAGTTGTATGCCAACATCACTGTTTGTCAAATCTAAAATATGTGGAACTATACTCATGCATATGGCAGAGCAGAAAAGGGTGGGGGCATTGTCCATATCTAGTTTACCAAGTTTTTTTTTGTCACATCAACTTTTCACATATGAAGAGTAATAGGTTGGATAACTATTTTGGCTCCATGGGATCCTTGCAAGGTCTTCATGTCCAGTGTTACCTGACCTTGACCTCATTTTATTGCTTAGTGATCAATGCTAAGTTGTTTGTGATTAGGATGGTAATGGTAGGTGAGTGATATTTTGTACGCAGTTGTGTTAGCATTGGCACATCTCATTGTCATTATAATATGGTATAGGGGGAGGGTTGAGATCTCATAAACATGTTTAACCCCGCCACATTTTTGCGCCTGTCCCAAGTCTGGAGCCTCTAGCCTTTGTTAGTCTTGTATTATTTTTAATTTTAGTTTCTTGTGTACAATTTTGAGTTTAGTATGGCGTTCATTATCACTGAACTAGTATATATATTTGTTTAGGGGCCAGCTGAAGGACGCCTCACGGTGCGGGAATTTCTCGCTGCATTGAAGACCTGTTGGTGACCTTCTGCTGTTGTCTGTTCTATGGTCGGGTTGTTGTCTCTTTGACACATTCCCCATTTCCATTCTCAATTTTATTAGTTAGTCCTGCCCCCTCAGTCATGTTCTACTGATTTTGAACCTTTTGCTTAGTTTACTTGTTATATTAGTTTTTGTCTCACCTGCAATGAAAGTCGCTGAACGGAAGGGGAGAAAAAAAATTATTGCTTTTCCGGCAGCAAGAACAACTTGTGATAGATCAATGATATTTTGTATGAAGTTGCATTACTATCAGTACATATCAGTTTGAAGACTTATTTTGAGGCCCTACCCCGTAGGTCATGGTCCAGTAACTTTGAATTTATTAGCATTGTTCAATGTTAAGTTTTCTGTTTAAGTTAGTTTGAAAGGAAATACTTGTAATAGATCAATGACATTTTCCATAAAGTTGTATTACTATCAGTTCATATCAGTTCTATTTCGAGGCCCTGCCGCCTAGGTCATGGTCCAGCGATTTTCAATTGATAAGCAATTTTAAATGTTAATTTTTCTGCTTAAATTAGTTTGATGGGAACTACTTGTGAAAGATCAATGAAATTTCTATTAAGTGGCATTACTATCAGTACAAAATCAATTTGACAACTACTAGGTCATGGTCCACTGACTGAATTAATTAGCATCGTTCAATGTGAAGTTTTCTGCTTAAGTCAGTTTGATAGGAACTACTTACAATAGACAATGATATTTTCTATAAAGTTACATTACTGCCTGTACATCTCATTTTGTTGACCATTTTGATGCCCTGTCCACTAGTACTTGGTCCAGTGACTTTGAAATAATTAGCAATGTTGCTGTCCATCAGATTGTCTTTTTATACGACCGCAAAAAATTTTTGGGGTCGTATATTGGTATGACGTTGGTGCTGTCGTCGTCGTCGTCTGAAGAAACATTGGTTTTCGCACAATAACTTCAGTTTAAGTCAATGGATCTCTATGAAATTTTACCATAAGGTTCAATACCACAAAAGGAAGGTTGGGATTGATGGGGGTTATGGTACCAACAGTTAAGGAATTAGGGGCCAAAAAGGGGCCATAAATAAGCATTTTTCTAGTTTCCAGACAAAAACTTGTGGAACAGTGTATGGATCTCTCTGAAATTATACCACAAGTTTCCATACCACAAAAGGGATGGTTAGGATTTGCTTTGGGGCATAATGGCTCAAACCGTTTAGGAATTAGGGGCAAAGAAGGGGGAAAAACAAGGGTGTCCTGGTTAATGGACAAATACTTTAGTACAAAACATAATTAAAAGCAGTGTAAGGGAGGTATTTCAAATACATCATTTGAATTACCTCCCTTACACTGCTTTTAAATTATGTATAAAGTAATGGTTAATGAACAATTAAGACAATTTAAAAGCAGTGTAAGGGAGGTAATCCAAATACAACGTTTTAATTACCTCCCTCACACTGCTTTTAAATTATGTTTAAAGAAATGCATATTTATAAAGGAAGACCAGTAAAAATATGTAACAGTATAGTGTATTGCACAAAAGCAAAAAAAAAAATGGGGGGAAAAATTATCATTTTTTTTGTGGGGGGAGGGGGGGTCAATTCGCAACAGCAAAGTGTATTGCATAAAAGCAAAAAATTGAATATAAATTCAAATCATATAACCAATTCTAAGTTCTTTGACTACAGTTATTCTGTGTCAGAAACCTTTTATGTGTCAAATATTTAATTACAATCCAAATTCAGACCTGTATCAAGCGCGAATATTGCGTCAATTTTTGCCCCAACTATTCAGGGTTGGACCTCTGCGGTCGTATCCAGCTGTGCTCAGGGAAGCAATTTATTCTGAATGTTATGCTGACAGGAGAGACATATTTCTTGATTGATCACATTATTTTTGTCTGTTTATTGCAATAATGAATTACAGTATTTTAGTACTAAGTGGTGACTTTTTGTTGATTCTTTCAAAGTCTATTGACTGATCACATTATTTTTGTCTGTTTATTGCCTTTTTATACGACCGCAAAAAAATTTTTGTGGTCGTATATTGGTATGACGTTGGCGTCGTCGTCGTCGTCGTTGTCGTCTGGCGTCGTCCGGCGTCGTCCGAAGACACATTGGTTATCGCACTGTAACTTTAGTTTAAGTGAATGGATCTCTATGAAATTTTACCACAAGGTTCAAAAGGTAGGGATTGATTTTGGGGGTTATGGTACCAACAGTGAAGGAATTAAGGGCCAAAAGGGGCCAAAAATAAGCATTTTTGTAACTTCCAGACAAAACTTGTGTGTTAGTGTATGGATCTCTCTGACATTGTACCACAAGGTCCCATATCACAAAATGAATACTGGGATTGATTTTGGGGGTAATTGCCTCCAAATTTTAGGAATTAGGGGCCAAAAAAGGGGCAAAAAACAAGCATTTTTCTAGTTTCATGACAATAACTTGTGTGTAAGTGTATGGATCTTTCTGAAATTGTACTACAAGGTTCCATATCACAAAGGGAAAGCTGGAATTGAGTTTGGGGGTAATTGCCGAAACGTTGAGGAATTGGGGGCCAAAAAGGGGCCAAAAATAAGCATTTTTCTAGTTTCCAGACAATAACTTGTGTTCAAGTGTATGGATCTCTCTGAAATTGTACTGCAAGGTACCATACAACAAAGGGAAGGCTGGGATTGATGATGGGGGTAATTGCCTCAATATTTTAGGAATTAGGGGCCAAAAAGGGGCAAAAAACAAGCATTTTTCTAGTTTCAGGACAATAACTTGTGTGTAAGTGTATGGATCTTTCTGAAATTGTACTACAAGGTTCCATATCACAAAGGGAAAGCTGGGTTTGAGTTTGGGGGTAATTGCCCTAAACGTTTAGGAATTTTGGGCCAAAAAGGGGCCAAAAAACACATTTTTCTAGTTTCCAGACAATAACTTGTGTTCAAGTGTATGGATCTCTCTGAAATTGTACTGCAAGGTACCATACAACAAAGGGAAGGCTGGGATTGAGTTTGGGGGTGATGAATCATAAGGGGGTTCAAAAAATTTGGGGGGGGGGATCTTTTTTTTTTCATTTTTTTTTCTTTTTTTCATTTTTTTTTTCTTTTAAAATTTTCAATTTAAAGTTGGTTATTTCTGATTTATGTTTAAAAGCAAATAATAATGATATGGTAGGAGATACACACCAAACAGGATGTGTAAATTTTTATATAATAAGTATTGTGCAATAGCAAGAAATTTTCAATTGCACAGTATTGCACAATAGCAAGAAATCTTCAATTGCACAGTATTGCGCAATAGCAAGAAATCTTCAATTGCACAGTATTGCGCAATAGCAAGAAATATCCAATAGCACAATATTGCGCAATAGAAAGAAATTGTCAATTGTACAGTATTGCGCAATAGCAAGAAATATTCAATTGCACAGTATTGTGCAAAAGAAGATACTTCGTATAAATTGCTTATTTCTTGACCAATTTTAATGGGGTTTTATTCTTGATTTCTTGGGGTTCTTTAATATGCTGAATCTAACCGTGTATTAAGTTTTTGGATTTTGGGCCCCGTTTTTAAATTGGTCCACATTGAGGTCCAAAGGGTCCAAAATTAAACTTTGTTTGATTTCATCAAAAATTGAATTATTGGGGTTCTTTGATATGCCGAATCTAACCGTGTATTTAGATTCTTAATTTTTGGTTCCGTTTTCAAATTGGTCTACATTAAGGTCCAAAGGGTCCAAAATTAAACTTAGTTTGATTTTAACAAAAAATGAATTCTTAGGGTTCTTTGATATGCTGAATCTAAACATGTATTTAGATTTTTGATTATGGGCCCAGTTTTCAAGTTGGTCCAAATCGGGGTCCAAAATTAAACTTTGTTTGATTTCAACAAAAATTGAATATATGGGGTTCTTTGATATGCTGAATCTAACCATGTATTTAGATTTTTGATTTTTGGGCCCCGTTATCAACTTTGTCCACATTGAGGTCAAAAGGGTCCAAAATTAAACTTTGTTTGATTTCATCAAAAAATGAATTCTTGGGGTTCTTTGATATGCTGAATCTAACCATGTATTTAGATTTTGGATATTGGACCATAAAAGGTGAATGTCCAATTTAAAATTTTTAAGTTCTTAGACCACATTCATTCTGTGTCAGAAACCTATGCTGTGTCAAATATTTAATCACAATCCAAATGCAAAGCTGTATCAAGCTTGAATGTTGTGTCCATACTTGCCCCAACTGTTCAGGGTTCGACCTCTGCGGTCGTATCAAGCTGCGCCCTGCGGAGCATTTTATTATGAGGTTGATATGAAGATATATAGACCTGAAAGAAGTATATCAATTGAGGACAAAGTCCAAGTTCAATATATCCTTGTATCAACCTCATTCAAAGGCTATAACTGTTATTTTGTTATTTTCAATACGCTGGAATTAAAGCAGAAATACTATTATTGGTTGTTATGATTGCATCAAAAAATATTGAGGTTTTAGATATTTTTTTAAATATTTTAAAATAACTCTACAATATCACTTTTCTATCTGCTGTTTTCAGTCTACCTTTTAAAAATATAGTCGAAAATGTGTCTCTTTTTGAACAAATTTAATTAGTTTGAATATACATAATAATATAAAGTGATAACATTTTCATTGTATGATGATCAGCAGCAATTAAGCTCTACAGGGCATCTTGATTAAAACTTATTAGAAAATTTTACACTTAAATTGTTGAAAAGATATTTGTATCCATCATTCCATATTTAATATTTGTAGCAATACAGAGTCCCCACTTTTACACCACCTTAACATGCTTAACTGGGGACAATTGTGGTCTCCTTAGGGCCTACGGCAGAGCTTTCACACTTCTCTTTGTAATGTGCTTCTTTATATACATGTATATCAAATTTGTTTCTAATGATGACAACACTTCTTTCAGGTTTTTCAGATTTTAAAAGCACCATTTAGTGGAAATGGACCAGTTATTGAAATGGAAGAATTAGCTAACCAAAGACATGCCCCCTTTAGACAGATCTGTAAACTTTGTTATCACATTCTAAGATTGTCACAGCAAGATTACAGAAAAAATCAGGTAGCTTTACCCTTATCTTGTGTTTTGCCAGAATTTTTAGTTATACAGGATTAATCCCTTTCACCAATGCTTTCACCTAGGCTCAATAAGTTATTAAGGTAGATTGGGTGTCCTCCACCATCTTGGATTGTAAAATAGCAGAACACAATCAGTGTAGATCTTTAATAGAATATACACATTAAGAGAGACACTCATTTATAAGACTTTTCAACTAAAGGAAAAAAAATGTGTTTTATCTTATTAAGACTGTTTGTAAAAAAAGACATGGAATTTTTGTCAACTTTGTCATATAAGGGAAGATAGCTCTGGTAACCTTTCTTTTTTAAAGGAAAGTCATTCTGTCATTCCGCAATGAACAGTTATAGAGACTTTTTTCTAAACACATTCACATATTGAGCTGATTTTTAGTATGTGAGTCAACTATGATGAGTTACAGATTGAGTTTACGTTTGGTTCTGCTGTGCTGATTTTTGCCGAAATTACAGGCTTTGGATTTTGAAAATTTCCTGAAATTATCAGTTATACAGACTTTTTTTCTAAACACCTTCACATATTGAGCTGATTCTTAATATGTGAGTCTAATATGATGAGTTACAGGTTGAGTTTACCTCTGGTTCCACTCCACTGATTTTTGGCGAAATTATGGGCTTTGGACTTTGAAAATTTCGGGAAATTAACAGTTATATGGACTTTCATTTTCAAATTTTCACTCCTAAAAATGGCTTCAAGCTTTTTTTGCAAGCAGGGGAAATTGGCAAAATCTGTCGTTTCTGTTCAATCTTTCTTTTATTTGAAAATATTAGAAAATTGAAACAAATACATATTTAAAACTTACCAAAATTGATAAAAAAAATTCAATACCTTTTGACATCTCTTCAAAAAAACAAATTACTTTCATTTATTTTTTAAGTTTGAATAAATAAAAAAAATTTACACTATAGTTATCTATGGTCATTGAGGCACTTAAGCTCTTGACTGAATGAAGGAAAGTATTTTTGATATTTCATGAATGTTCAAAATATTAGATTAATCCATTGAGATGAAAAATATATGTGATTATTATATATATTTTGGTCTTTTATGTTTATATACTAATATTTTATAGGAGTATATTGCCAAGCACTTTGCATTCATGCAAAAACAAATAGGATATGATGTGTTAGCTGAGGAGACCATTACAGCATTACTGAACAACAATCGTAAACTACTAGAAGCTCACATTACAAAACAGGAAATAGAAACATTTGTCAGTCTTGTAAGAAGGAATAGAAAACCAAGGTAAACATGTGCTGTTATTGAAATAAAAGAAATTTATGGTCATGACCTGTAAAAGTTATTTTTAGTACTAGCTGGACTTTATCAAGGCTGTAGGTTGCACTTCTGTAAATATAGACAATGCAATTTCCCATAGGAACTCCTTTTATGGCTAAAACTATGCTACTTTTACTATGAAGTTTCTTAAAAAATTATATAAGAATGGAAAGTTCATATGCACTACTATTTTTTTTAAGGACAAAACATAGGGCAGTGCGGCATATTTTCAACATTTATATGTCTCAAATTTCTAAGAGTTAAAACTTATTCTACAATTCTGTACTTCCCCTCCCTTCACTTTGGGTCTTTGTCAGAATTCAATTTGGCTGCTATCCATGTGTATGTATACAACAATTTCCAAGTTGTGTCTCTATGAGCTGAAACACAGAGGTCATATCTTGGAACCAGTAGATTAACAAAACAAAATATCTATGAATATTTTATAACTTCCCAAAAGAGGCGTGGTTTCTGAAACAGCTGTATTTACAAAGTGCTAGCTGCAGGGGACATAAAATGTGGGTTTGTCACTATAACATAGTTCAGGATAAAATTTGAGTTTCATGCAATCTTTTTGACTCAATATTTTCTCCTCTTTGTAGACACACTTTTCCAGTCATGAAAGTGACACAATGGGTAATTACTATAAAAAAAGCTTTCAAAAAAAAAAAAAAAAATGATGTAATATATAATTTCAAATAATTAATACCATTTGTTTTGTGTTCATTTTAAGTAAATACTTGGGAGATATAATGTGGAGAAAACTACTTTTAAACTCTTTTTTGATATTCCAAAATACACAGAATTCTTGTTTATCATCTCAGTTCCCAGCTTTATGACTGTCGAGTCAACATCTGGTTTTAGAAAAGTGTGCTGTAAAACAAAAGTAAAATTTCTTCTCAGTATGTTATTGCCATGATACAGAGAAAGGCCAAATGTAAATCTGCTGATGTTCCACACTTCAAACCATGCACTGTCAGATAACATAACTATCATGTATGAAATAATGTCAATTCACTGAATCCATTTCAAAAGTAGGAAGTAATCATTTTAATGACAGTCATTGTCTTTGATTCCCAAATGAGTACCTTGATTGCCTTATCAAGTTACAAAGTCCAATGAGATTAAAAACAGGATTTGAAAAAAAATATCTGGCTGTCTCAATTTTTATACGACAGCAAAAAAAATTTTGCGTTCGTATAATGCTATCATGTCGTCGTCATTGTCCGAAGACACATTTGGTTTCCGGACAATAACTTTAGTTAAAGTGAATGGATCTCTATGAAATTATACCAGAAGATTCAATACCACAAAAGAAAGGTTGGGATTGATTTTGGGGGTTATGGTACCGACAGTTTAGGAATTAGGGGCAAAAAAGGGGCCAAAAACGAGCATTTTTGTAGTTTCCGGACAATAACTTGTGTGTGAGTGTATGGATCTCTCTGAAATTGTACCACAAGGTTCCATATCACAAAGGGAAGGCTGGGATTGAGTTTGGGGGTAATTGTCCCAAATGTTCAGGAATTAGGGGCAAAAAAGGGTAAAAAACAAGCATTTGTCTAGTTTCCAGACAATAACTTGGGTTTAAGTGTATGGATCTCTCTGAAATTGTACTACAAGGTTCCAATACCACAAAAGGAAGACTGGGATTGAGTTTGGGGGTAATTACTCCAAGGGGGTGGGAGGGTTTCAAATTTTTTTGGGGGGTTCATACTTTTTTTCTTTAAGATTTTTCAAAATTTCAAATTAAAAAAAAAAATTTTTTAGGGGGATGTTTTTTTTTCCTAAATATTTTTAATTTTTACATTGATTATTTCTGATTTATATATAAAAGCAACAAATACTGATATGGCAGGAGATACACACCAAACAGGGTGTGTGAATTATTATATATAACAGATTAACTAAGTATTGTGCAACAGCACAGTATTACGCAATAGCAAGAAATCTTCAATTGCACAGTATTGCGCAATAGCACATTATTGGGCAAGAAATCTTCAATTGAAAATAAATACAAATCTTTTAACCAATTTCAATGGGATTAATTTAAAGTCTTTAATTTTTTGGGGTTCTAACCTTGTATTACTATTTTGGATATTGGGCCCCATTTTTAAATTGGTCTACATTGAGGTCCAAAGGGTCCAAGTATTATTTTAACAAAAAATGAATTATTGCGGCTCTATGATATGCTGAATCTTATTGTGCATTTAGATTTTTGTCGAGTCTGGGACTTTTGTCGCAGAAAGCTCGACATAGGGATAGTGATCCGGCGGCGGTGTTAGCTAACTTCTTAAAAGCTTAATATTTCAGAAGGTAGAATACCTGGATCCTTCATACTTTGTATATAGATGCCTTATGTTATGAAATTTCTATCTGTCATATATCCATTGTCCTTGACCTCATTTTCTTGGTTCAGTGACTACTTGAAAAAAAAGTCAACATTTTTTGTAATGTTTATTTCTTTCTTATTATGAGTAATAGGATAACTATATTTAGTATGTGTGTACCTTGCAAGGTCCTCATGGCTGTCAGACAATTTTCACTTGACCTCGACCTCATTTCATGGATCAGTGAACAAGGTTAAGTTTGGTGGTCAAGTCCATATCTCAGATACTATAAGCAATAGGTCTACTATATTTGGTGTATGGAATGATTGTAAGGTGTACATGTCCAACTGGCAGGTGTCATCTGACCATGACCTCACTTTCATGGTTCAGTGGTTATAGTTAAGTTTTTGTGTTTTGGTCTGTTTTTCTTGTACTGTATGCAATAGGTCTACTATATAGATATAAGAAGATGTGGTATAAGTGCCAATGAGACAACTCTCCATCCAAGTCAAAATTTATAAAAGTTATGTTTGGTGTATGGAATGAGTGTAAGGTGTACATGTCCAACTGGCAGGTGTCATCTGACCTTGACCTCATTTTCATGGTTCATTGGTTAAAGTTAAGTTTTTGTGTTTTGGTCTGTTTTTCTTATACTGTACAAGATAAATCAACTATATTTGGTGTATGAAAATATTTTAGGATGTACATGTCAGTCTGGCATGTTTTATTTGACCTTGACCTCATTTTTACGGTTCATTCCTCAATGTTAATTTTTTGTTTTTGGTCTATTTTTCTAATACTTTCAGCAACAGGTCAACTATATTTGGATTATGGAATGATTGTAAGGTGTAAATGTCCAACTGGCAGGTGTCATCTGACCTTGACCTCATTTTCATGGATCAGTGGTCAAAGTTAAGTTTTTTTAGTTTTGGTCCTTTTTTCTTATCCTATATGCAAAGGGTGAACTATATTTGGTGTATGGAAATATTTTAGGATGTACATGTCTGTCTCACAGGTTTTATCTGACCTTGACCTGATTTTCACGTTTCATTGCTCAGTGTTAAAATTTGGTGTTTTGGTCTATTTTTGTTCAACTATAAGCAATAGGTCAACTATATTTGGTGTATGGAATGTTTATAAGGTGTTTATGTCTGTCCGCCAGGTATCATATGACCTTAACCCCTTTTACATGGCTCATTAGTCAATGTTAAGTTTTAATGCTGAACTTTGTTTCTTAGAAAATATAAGCAATAGGTCAACTATATTTGGTGTATGGAATGATTGTAAGGCATATCTGTCTGTCGGCAGGGTTCATATGACCTTGATTTTATTTACATGGTTCATAGGTCAATGTTAGTTTTTTTCATTCTTCACTGCCATCTTTAATCACAATAATCAATATCAATGGTATATCACTAAGTTATTTCACTCTTAACCACAGTTATCCAGCATATCTTCATGTAGCGGATAATAACTTATACAATTAGAAGTATGAAGACACTATGATAGTTGTCTTCAGCAGGCCTGGCAGCAGCTTTAGCGTTCATACAGGCATCAGCAGCAGCGACATTATCTCATTATTTACAGCTTAAAATTTATAATGTATGTCTGATAGCATTTACTTTCAACATAACTTCAATTAGAAATACACGACAGGCGAGACATTTCTGTGTGTCCACTCTTGTTTATTTTGGGCCCTGTTTTCAAATAAGTCCATATTAAGGTTTGAAGGGTCCAAAATTAAACTTTGTTTGATTTCAACTAAAATTAATTTTTAGTGTTTTTTTATATGCTGAATCTAACCATGTTGTTAGATTTTGGATATCAGACCATTCTAGGTAAATTGAATGTCCCATTTCAAATTTTTAAGATCTTTGACTACATTTATTTTGTGTCGGAAACCTATATTATGTCAAAAATTTGATCACAATCCAAATTCAGACAGTATCAAGCTTGAATATTGTGTCCAAACTTACCCCAACTGTTCAGAGTTCGACCTCTGCGGTCGTATCAGGCTGCGCTCAGCGAAGCATTTTATTTTTATATGTGAAGCTTTGCCCTAGATCTGTCTTTCCTGATAGACTGGCAGCCTTTTTTCTTATTGCCCTCTAAAATGTGCACATTAAGTAAGCAAATGTATAATAAGGTTTTCCATTTTGTGTTATAATATATATTTATATTCTTAAAACAGTAAAAAAGATCCTCTGAAACTGCTACTGAGTACTCTGTTTGTATGATTTGAAAGTTTTTACTCTTAAATTTAAATTACTAGGCATGGATGAGGATTATTCAGTACTACAATTAAGAAATGAAAGAAAATGTTGATTTCATGATGTTGTTAACATATGCTGTCATGATTTCTTTACAAGGTAGAAGGCACCCTAATTTCTTGTAGAATTCTTGAAATTTTTAATAATTTTTGATCATTTGCCAATTTTAAAAATTGATATTATTTTATTGAAAAATCAAGTAACTAATCTGATAAATATCAAAAAGTTATGCCTGAGTACAACTTTCTTCTTTTTTTCCCCATTTCAAATGAAAAACCTACATGAAATTTGGTATCAAGCTTCATGTGAACATGCCATGAATGTGGGATGCTCTTTCTCATCCATCACTCATTAACTTTCTAATTACTGAATACTTATAGCAGAGGTATAATAATTGAACAAAAGCTTACAATTCAATTAGTTTGTTCTAGTGGGCATAAGTTGAATGTTATATAATTCAATTTTAGTCAGCCTTATATATATTAATTTATTATAACTACAACTCTTTAACTCTTAGAAGTAAAAATGATTTATTTGAAGGTTTCTTTGACAGTAAAGATGTTATATTGTTTTATTGCAGATTTTTAGATTACCTATATGTTTTATGTGTATCAAATGGATCAGCCATACCAGCGACTCAAGATCTGATTTGTAATTGTTTGCTAAGTGATGAAAACCAAGATATTCTGATTGAAACAAGGTATTTTTTGTCAAGTTACATTTTTAGCTCACCTGGTCCGAAGAAGTTCAAAATGTAAAAAGTTAACAACAACGACGGAATGAAATAAAACATGGCATGAATGTTCCTTTTGAGGTGCTGACCAAGTGTTGTAACTTTGTAGGTGATCAATCATCCAAGATGGCTGCCAACGGGGACTTAGGTTAACATAGGACCCTATGGGAAATACATACAAATGTTTTCTTTTAGAGAACCACAGAATGGAATGAAACCAAACATGGTATGAATGTTCCTTATAATTATGAGGTGCTGACCAAGTGTTGTTACTTTGTAGCAAATCCATCAACCAAGATGGCTTCCAATGGGGGACTTAGTTTAACAATGGACCCTATGGGAAATATATACAAATGTCTTCTTCTAGAAAACTGCTTAATGGATTGAAACCTGGTATGAATGTTTCTTTTGAGGTGCTGACCAACTGTTGTTACTTTGTAGCTGATTTTTATACGACCGCAAAAAATTTTTTGGGATCATATAATGGTATGATGTCGTCGTCGTCGTCTGCGTCGTCGCCCGAAGACACATTGGTTTCCGGACAATAACTTTAGTTTAAGTGAATGGATCTCTATGAAATTTTTTAAGAAGGTTCAATACCACAACAGGAAGTTTGGGATTGATTTTGGGGATGATGGTCCCAACCGTTAAGAATTAGGGGCCAAAAAGGGGCCCAAAACAAGCATTTTTCTAGTTTCAGGATAATAACTTGTGTATTAGTATTTAGATTGCTCTGAAATTGCACCACAATGTTTAATACCACAAGTAGAAGGGTGTGATTCATCTTAGGGGTTATGGGGCCAACAGTTTAGGAATTAAGGGCCAAAAAGGGGCCAAAAACAAGCATTTATTATCTCACCTGGCCTGAAGGGCCAAGTTAGCTTTTCTCATCACTTGGCGTCCGTTGTCCGTCGTCCGTCGTCGTCGTTAGCTTTTTACAAAAATCTTCTCCTCTGAAACCACTGGGCCAAATTTAACCAAACTTGGCCACAATCATCATTAGGGTATCTAGTTTAAAAAATGTGTCCGATGACCCCGCCAACCAACCAAGATGGCCGCCATGGCTAAAAATAGAACATAGGGGTTAAATGTAGATTTTGGCTTATATCTCTGAAACCAAAGCATTTAGAGTAAATCTGACAGGGTAAAACTGATTATCAGGTCAAGATCTATCTGCCCTGAAATTTTCAGACAAATCTGACAACTGGTTGTTTGGTTGCTGCCCCTGAATTGGTAATTTTAAGGAAATTTTGCAGTTTTTGGTTATTATCTTGAATATTATTATAGATAGAGATAAACTGTAAACAGCAATAATGTTCAGCAAAGTAAGATCTACAAATAAGTTATCATGACCAAAATTGTCAGTTGACCCCTTTAGGAGTTATTGCCCCTAATAGTCAATTTTTTGTAAATTTTTGTAATCTTTTACAAAAATCTTCTTTTCTGAAACTACTGAGACAAATTTAACCATACTTGGCCATAATCATTATTAGGGTATCTAGTTTAAAAAATTTGTCCGATGACCCCGCCTTCCAACCATCATGGCGGACTTGGTTAAAAATAGAACATAGGGGTAAAATGCAGTTTTTGTTTTATATCTCTGAAACTAAAGCATTTAGAGAAAATCTGACAGGTGGCAAAAATGTTCATCAGATTTAGATTTATCTGCCCTGAAATTTTCAGACGAATTCGACAACCCGTTGTTGGGTTGCTGCCTCTGAGTTAGTAATTTTACAAAAATTTTGCAGTTTTTAGCTCACCTGACCTGAAAGGTCAAGTGAGCTTTTCTCATCACTTTGCGTCGATCGTCCTGCGTCCGTCGTCCGTCGTCCGTAAACTTTTACAAAAATCTTCTCCTCTGAAACTACTGGGCCAAATTTGACCAAACTTGGCCACAATCATCATTGGGGTATCTAGTTTAAAAAATGTGTCCGGTGACCCGGCCAACCAACCAAGATGGCCGCCATGGCTAAAAATAGAACATAGGGGTAAAATGTAGATTTTGGCTTATATCTCTGAAACCAAAGCATTTAGAGCAAATCTGACAAAGGGTAAAATTGTTTATTAGGTCAAGATCTATCTGCCCTGAAATTTTCAGATGAATCGGACAACCTGTTGTTGGGTTGCTGCCCCTGAATTGGTAATTTTAAGGAAATTTTGCCGTTTTTGGTTATCATCTTGAATATTATTATAGATAGAGATAAACTGTAAACAGCAATAATGTTCAGCAAAGTAAGATCTACAAATAAGTCAACTTGACCAAAATGGTCAGTTGACCCCTTAAGGAGTTATTGCCCTTTATAGTCAATTTTTAACCATTTTTCGTAAATTTTTGTAATCTTTTACAAAAATCTTCTCCTCTGAAACTACTAAGACAAATTTAACCAAACTTGTCCACAATCATCATTAGGGTATCTTGTTTAAAAAATGTGTCCGATGACCCCGCCCGTGAACCAAGATGGCCGACATGGCTAAAAAATAGTACATAGGGTAAAATGCAGTTTTTGGCTCATATCTCTGAAACCAAAGCATTTAGAGCAAATCTGATGAGTATAAAATTGTTCATTAGGTCAAGATCTATCTGCCCTGAAATTTTCTTACCAATCAGGCAACCCGTTGTTGGGTTCCTGCCCCTGAATTGGTAATTTTAAGGAAATTTTGCCGTTTTTAGTTATTATCTTGAATATTATTATAGATAGAGATAAACTGTAAACAGCAATAATGTTCAGCAAAGTAAGATCTACAAATAAGTCAACTTGACCAAAATTGTCAGTTGACCCCTTAAGGAGTTATTGCCCTTTATAGTCAATTTTTAACCATTTTTCGTAAATTTTTGTAATTTTTTACAAAAATCTTCTCCTCTGAAACTACTAAGACAAATTTAACCAAACTTGTCCACAATCATCATTAGGGTATCTAGTTTAAAAATGTGTCCGATGACCCCGCCCGCGAACCAAGATGGCCGACATGGCTAAAAAATAGTACATAGGGTAAAATGCAGTTTTTGGCTCATATCTCTGAAACCAAAGCATTTAGAGCAAATCTGACATGGGGGTAAAATTGTTCATTAGGTCAAGATCTATCTGCCCTGAAATTTTCAGACCAATCAGGCAACACATTGTTGGGTTGCTGCCCCTGAATTGGTAATTTTAAGAAAATTTTGCAGCTTTTGGTTATTATCTTGAATATTATTATAGATAGAGATAAACTGTAAACAGCAATAATGTACAGCAAAGTTAGATCTACAAATAAGGCAACATGACCAAAATTGTCAATTGACCCCTTAAGGAGTTATTGCCCTTTATAGTCAATTTTTTACAATTTTCATAAATTTTGTAAATTTTTGTAAATTTTTACAAAGTATTTTCCACTGTATCTACCGGGCCAAGTTCATTATAGATAGAGATAATAGTAAGGAGCAAGAATGTTCAGTAAAGTAAGATCTACAAACACATCACCATCACCAAAACACATCACCATCACCAAAACACAATTTTGTCATGAATCCATCTGTGTCCTTTGTTTAATATGCACATAGACCAAGGTGAGCGACACAGGCTCTTTAGAGCCTCTAGTTTGTTATTAAGTCTCCCAAACGAAGTTTGGGAAGACTTATTGTTTTTGCTCAGTTCTTATTATTAAGTCTCCCAAACGAAGTTTGGGAAGACTTATTGTTTTTGCTCAGTTCTTATTATTATTATTATTCTTCTTCCTCTTCCTCTTCCGCCACTTTTAAATTTGAACTTGTCCGCACCTGTTCTCCAAAACCGCTTGTCAGATTAATTTAGGGTTTCACAATATGTTAGACTAACATGTCTAGTGGTGCAATCAGGGTTTTGTTTGTGCAATAGGGTTTTTAAAGGGGTACTTTGAGGGGCGAAAAGAAAGGAGGGTTTTACTATAGAACCCTATGGGATTTAATTTTTTTTAATTTTCAAATGATTATAAATTGAAAACCGTTTGTGATAGACACAATCTTTTTAATTGAAAATGTTCTAAATGATAAAGCACATTAAATGAAATACAGGGTAAGTCCCCAGGGGTCACCCCCACCCCCTGCCATTTAAGAAAGTTCTAATACCTTGAAAGTGGTCAAGATCCCCACCCCTAAACCATATATATTCTGGTTTGTCATGCTAAGATGGTTTGAATGATATACAGGGTTAGTCCCCAGGGGTCATCCCGACCCCCTGCCATTTGAGAAAGTTCTAATATCTTGTAAATGGTCGAGATCCCCACCCCTAAACCATATATATTCTTGTTTGTCATTATAAAGCAAATCAAATGAAATACAGGGTTAGTCCCCAGGGGTCACCCCCACCCCCTGCCATTTAAGAAAGTTCTAATATCTTGTAAGTGGTCAAGATCCCCACCCCTAAACCATATATATTCTGGTTTTTCATGCAAAGATGGTTTGAATGATATACAGGGTTAGTCCCCAGGGGTCACCCCACCCCCTGTCATTTAAGAAAGTTCTAATATCTTGTAAGTGGTCAAGATCCCCACCCCTAAACCATATATATTCTGGTTTGTCATGCTAAGATGGTTTGAATGATATACAGGGTTAGTCCCCAGGGGTCATCCCCAACCCCCTGCCATTTGAGAAAGTTCTAATATCTTGTAAATGGTCTAAGATCCCCACCCCTTAACCATATATATTCTTGTTCGTCATGTCTCGAACATTTGAATGACGTATAGGATCAGTCCCCAGGGGTTCCCCCCACCCCCAATGTTCTAGTATCTTGTAAGTGGTCAAGATCCCCACCCCTAAACCATATATATTCTGGTTTGTCATGCAAAGATGGTTTGAATGATATACAGGGTTAGTCCCCAGGGGTCATCCCCCACCCCCTGCCATTTGAGAAAGTTCTAATATCTTGTAAATGGTCAAGATCCCCACCCCTAAACCATATATATTCTGGTTTGTCATGCTAAGATGGTTTGAATGATATACAGGGTTAGTCCCC